TTTCTAACGGGCAGCTGCTGAGAATACAGCATTTATTTTTGATTAATTGGGTTGGCTAGTTTGTTCTGTTTGTAAAGCATAGCCAAGGAAGGAAAACTTAAGTTCATTTTGTTATTTTTTTTATATAGCTTGCTTAATATTGTGCACAGCAGACTACCTCAAAATATTGTTCTTATTGTTTATTGTATTTATTTTTTGTATTTTATTTATTAATAAAAATATTTCTGTTGAATTTTGAGGTCTTTTTTTTCCCTTGCGGTATCGAAAATGGTATCGAGTATCGAGTATTTTCCTGAGTATCGGTATAGAGTTGAAAATTTTAGTATCGTGACAACCCTACAGCCTCCTCCTCCTTAAATAGGTCTTCTTGATGAGGAGACAGGAAAGAGGTATGTAGAGGTGAACTCATGCCCTCAGGAGGAAGATCTCAGGCACCCTCTGGTGGAGAAAGTGAACAAACCTCCAGATCCCAACAGTACCCCCCCCTCAACGACTGCCACCTGGCGGTCCAAAGGAACATGAAGGTAGAGACGAATGGTATTCAGGTATAAGAGCAGGGTCCAAAATAAATGACCCAGGAACCCACGTTCGGTCCTCCGGACCGTAGCCCTCCCAGTCGACCAGGTACTGCCAACCTCGGCCCCGACGACGGGAGTCTACGATCCCGCGAACGGTGTATGCAGGATGCCCATCAATGTCACAGGGGGGAGGAGGGGAGTCGGAAGGAGGGCAAAGAGGACTGGTCAGGACGGGTTTGATCTGAGATACGTGGAAAGTGGAATGGATCCGGAGAGAAGGAGGGAGATGCAGACGGACAGCAGAGGGACTGATGATAGAGTCGATCTTGTAAGGGCCAATGTAACGGGGGGACAATTTTTTAGACATGGATTTCAACGGTATATCTCTGGTGGAGAGCCAAACCTGCTGCCCTGGTGAGTAGGTGGGAGCTGGACGTCTTTGCCGGTCAGCGAATCGGCGGTTCTGTACGGATGAACGGCTCAGAGCTGCAATAGTGTTGCTCCAGATCTTGCGGCATCGGCGGATGTGGTGTCGGACTGTAGGGTCTGAGATTTCCTTCTCATCAGCAGGGAATAACGGAGGCTGATAACCTAAGGAGATTTCAAAGGGGGAGAGACCGGTAGCAGATGAGACATGAGCGTTGTGTGCATACTCCACCCAATGCAGGTACTGATTCCAGTCGGCAGGGTTGGTAGAAGTGAAGCACCTGAGGACCAGAGGTTAATCATATCTTGGCTTCTAGGGCAGAACAAAAATGTTTCCATACCTGAGCTGTAAATTGTGGTCCTCGGTCTGACAGAATCTCCTGTGGGATGCCGTGTAACCTCAAAACATGTTGGATTAGAAGAAGAGCTGTCTGAAAAGCGGTGGGAAGTTTTCTCAAAGGGATGAGATGGCAAGACTTGAAGAACCTATCGATGACTGTGAAAATGGTGGTCATACCCTTGGATGCCGGTAATCCAGTAACAAAGTCTATGGCTATGTGTGACCAAGGGCGTTTGGGAACAGGCAGGGGATTAAGGAGACCAGAGGGAGGCTGATTAGATGATTTATTTCGTGCACAAACAGGGCAGGCTAGAACAAACTCCTTAATGTCCTTGTGGAGTGAAAGCCACCAAAACCGATGGGAAATCAGGGCAACGGTTTTACTGACCCCAGGATGAGCTGATAACTTGGAGGAATGCATCCAATGACTCAATCTGGACCTGACTGAAGAGGGAACGTACGTTTTGTTAGGCGGACCAGTGCCGGGATCCGGTTCAGAAGTTTGCGCCTGTTTAATCAGGTCAGATATTTCCGAGGAGACTGTGGCGACAGTACAGCTAGCCGGTAAAATACTAGCTGGAGTTTCTTGTTCATCAGGAGCGTGGAGACAGGACAGAGCGTCAGGTTTAGTGTTTTTAGAGCCAGGCCGGTAGGAGATGATCAGGTTGAATCGAGAGAAAAACAGAGACCAACGAGACTGACGGGGATTTGGCTGATTGAATGTATGAAAGATTTTTATGATCGGTCCATACCAAAATGGGATGCTCTGCGCCCTCCAGCCAATGCTGCCATTCTTCCAAAGCCAGTTTTATGGCGAGAAGCTCTCTGTCACCGATGTCGTAATTACGTTCAGCAGGGGTGAGTCTGCGGGAGAAAAATGCACACGGATGAGTTCTCTGGTCAGAATCAGAACTTTGGGACAGAACAGCCCCCACCCCTGAGTCAGATGCATCCACCTCAAGAATGAACTGTTTGGAGGGGTCCGGCTGAATGAGGATGGGTGCTTTGGAAAACAGGGTTTTGAGTTTATTAAAGGCTGCTTCCACCTCAGTGGACCAGTGAAAGGTTCTCTTGAGTGAGGTTAAGGCTGTTAGTGGTTGGGCTGTTTAGCTGTAGTTTCTGATGAATCTACGATAAAAGTTAGCGAATCCCAGAAACCTTTGAAGTTGTCTCCTATTTTCAGGAGTGGGCCAGTCCAAAACCGCCTTGATTTTATCCTCCGATGGCCTCACCTGCCCGCCCTCGAGCACAAATCCTAGAAAAGCAACAGATGGGCGGTGAAACTCACATTTTTCAGCCTTCACAAACAGTTTGTTTTCCAGAAGTCTTTGCAGGACCAAACGGACATGTTTTTGATGCTCAGAGATAGTCTTGGAGTAAATCAAGATGTCATCTAAGTAGACAAACACAAAAACGTTCAAAAAATCTCTCAAAACGTCATTCACCAGAGCCTGAAAACAAGCAGGGGCATTAGTCAGACCAAAATGCATAACCAGGTACTCGAAATGTCCCAGAGGTGTTTTGAAGGCTGTTTTCCATTCATCTCCTTCACGGATTCTGAGAAGGTGATAGGCATTTCTCAGGTCTAACTTGGAGAACACAATAGCACCCTGAACCAGTTCAAAGGCAGAGGCTAACAGAGGCAATGGATATTTGTTCTTGATTGTTATTGGATTTAACCCACGGTAATCAATACAGGGTCGCAGGGATCCGTCTTTCTTACCGACGAAGAAAAACCCGGCTCCGAGTGGAGAAGAAGATGGACGGATTATTCCAGAGGCTAGGGACTCATTGATATATCTCTCCATTGTTTCCCTCTCAGGTTTGGAGATGTTATAAAGCCGACTGTTAGGGAGAAGATCGATGGCGCAGTCATATGGACGGTGCGGAGGGAGAGAAAGGGCTCTAGCCTTACTGAACACTGGAGCCAAATCATGATAATCAGGAGGAACGGCAGAGAGATCAGGCGGGTCAACTTCCTGACGGTTTGCCGGCGGCTGAGTCGGAGGAGCAGCGGAACGGAGGCAGGAACAATAACAGGGGATAGACCAGGACTCCACATGTCTCTTAGACCAGTTAATATGTGGGTTGTGGAGTTGCAGCCAATCAAAATCCAGAACTATGGATGAGCTAGCAGATGAAAAAACAAAATGAGATGATTTCTCTATGGTTACTGGAGATTAGTAGCTCTAAAGGTTTGGTCTGATGCGTAATTTGAGGTAGTTGTTTTCCGTCTAAAGCGGAGACTCTCAGGGGTTTAATCAAAGGAGTGGTGTCAAGATTCAGTTGTTTGACCAAACTAGAGTCGATTAGGTTTCTCTCACAGCCTAAATCAATCATAGCCGACAAAGTGAGGGATTGTTCTTTAAAGAACAGAGTAGCGGGTAACAGAAGTCGAGGAGATTTTTCAGTTTGGAGATGGTTCGCCAGACTCCTCATTTCCTCTGGCGGACCTTAGCGGGACAGGTTGACACAAAATGTCCAGGTTCACCACAATACAGGCAGAGGTTTTGTTTGTATCTCCTTTGCTTCTCTTCAGATGAAAGTCTGGTGTGACCAATCTGCATGGGCTCTGCTTCTGAGGACAAGGAGGGAGAAAAGACTTCATTAGCTCTTTCAATAGACCTTTCAGGAAGTGTAGTGACTGGGAAAACACGGCTCTTGGATCTGGCAATGGATCTGGCTCGCAGCCTGTTATCTAGGCGGATTGTCAGTCTTATCAGATCCTCCAAAGTTTTAGGTTCATCTAGAGTTGCCAACTCGTCTTTAATAGACTCATCTAGGGAGTGAAAATAAGCGCTCTTAAGCGCCGTTTCTTCCCAACCGAAAGCGGCCGCTTTAATCCGGAATTCAATCGAAAATTCAGCCACTGTTCTGTTCCCTTGCTTCAATTCTAGCAACCCACATGATTCAGTGGTATTATCAGTATCTTGATTGAAAGCTTGTTTAAATTATTTAATGAATTCGTCATAAGTACAACCGTACTCAATCTTGGAAGAGAATTTAGCTTCCGCCCACTCCAAGGCTTTACCAGACAGATGGGACATAATAAAAGAAATCCTTCTTCTATCTTGCACAAAACTCTGAGGTGAATGATTAAAAATTATTGAACACTGGAACAAAAATCCTTTGCACTTACTTGGATCTCCAGAAAATCTTTCGGGGAGAGATGGGCGGAATTTAGGAAATGACGGGTGGATTTCTGACCTGAGAGGTGGATTGGAATCCTGAACCGGAAGCTGAACGGCTTCAACCGCAGGTGTAGCAAT